GGACAGATAGAATACATTGATATCCCCTCGTCCATTGCGCCAGCTTGTGTAAAAAGCCGAATCATATTGAACGATTCTTTTATCATTATTATTTAACTTGGCAACCGCCATATTGAAGTAACAGCCAGGACTGTAGAATAGAACAAGATAAATTATATTACTTTTTCAGTTCAGTATATTACTTTAATTTAATAAAGTTTCATTCGTTACGTTTACAAATATTTGTGCATCATCATAATTATTAAAATTGTACCTATCTACAGTATATAAAAACAATGCAAAACCTGGTTCAATATAGCAAATATTATTAATTCTGTCATGTAATCAGTTATACAAGTATTAAGTAATCCACAAGTAGGTAATGGACAACAGTAGCAAATATGACATGTAGTTAATTATTAGAAAAAGTAAATAGCTTACAAATTATGTATTTCAAGTTTTGTATAACAATTATTTTTATTTCAGTATAGTTCTAAAAATATTTACAAATTTTATAATTGTTAGAACATTTTAATTTTACACTCTACAAATAAGGCAAATATTGGCTTTGCAGTGAACAAAAGATCAGGTAAAAATGTCAGACCTAAATGGTTTTCTTGTTTCGCTGCTTATCTTTGGTCCGACGACAGTGGCGACCACGTTTGTTACGTGAACAACGTATAGGTCACGTACCAAACAACACCCGTTTGTATATTTTAGCTGAAACAGGAATGAAATATATTATTTGTATACTGTTGGATTAGAACACGGTCCTGTCAGAGGATATCCGTCCAAGTAATTAAAGGTAGTAGGTGTATTGAAGATCTGACCAAAAGTGTTGGCAATATTTTTGTTGTGTGAAAAAAGTATTTTTTTTTATATCTAACAAATCCTAATTCACGCCAAAGTAAATATGTCGAATTCCTTAAATACGTAAAATAAAATAACATTTCTCTATTTTACTTCGTTAAATATAAATTTTTTAAGTAAAATAGTTAAACCTGATCACAATGATTGAGACTAGGTTTTAAAATGGGTCAAAAGTATTCTGGACCACGATATTTATTTGTAAAAGTAATAATCGTCATTGCAGCTTTAAGCCACTTAATACTCAGCGAAGTTACGTTTACACAAGTAAGATACAATTTAATTGTGGAGTAAAATTGTACACCTAAAACATTATAATATTGGTTTGTGTCTATTTCAAATTGAAAACATAGACAATTCAATATTTTACATTGTTTTCTAGCAATATTTGTTGACAGGTTTTTTCCTTTATATTGCATAACAAAGCATATAGCAAGTGAAATTGGTGTTAACAAATATGTTGTATCTGGATAGAAGAAACTTGAGAAGGGTTGTGGTCGGTGCAGATAGAATAGTTTATAACCAGAGACTATGTTTTTCTGCCCCTAGGCCTTGGAATAAGGTTTGCATTTTACTTTTTGTTTGTAGTTATCGGGTACTCTTTATAAAAAAACAAGCCCTCATAGGAGGTCAAGATCATTTTTTTACGTTAAGCGTTTCCCAATGACCTGCTAACCTCACAAAGTAAAGAGTCACATTTAACTAATAGTATCCTACAATTGCGATTTTCTGTAACAACATAAAATTTAAATTACCATAACACCTTAAAAATATAATTGAATACTACCAAAAGCTTGCAACTAAGATTTTATATGTCCCTTATCCATGGTGTTGTGTTCTCGCCGTATAATTAAATTTTAATTCACTTTGCGTTGCCCTTACACGACGATGTACTCTAATGCGACTTTTTATCTCGAAAATGAACTTATTTAACGAATAATTTCAGATGAAAATGAAAGCAAACCGAATGTCATTTACATTTTTAACATTCTAATCCCACCAGCTGTGTGTCCTAATCATAAAAGAAAAAAAACCTAAATTTCACTATTAAGTCATTAAACAATCTTGAATAATTAATTTGACCTTTAAGATGATATTAATAATAAAGAGAATAAATTATTAATGAACAACTTTTCAGACCTCACTTTCGTTAAAATAATCGATGGTCATGCTGGCATTCAGGGAGAAATCTGGTCATTACGGTAGAGTACGGGGCTTTGGTTTACAAAGTTCTGAGTTCAAATCCTGCCAATAACCAATGTACAAGTAATACGAGTGATAATGTCACGGACTCTAGGCCATGATTTTCGGGTTTGAAGAACAACTAGACTAGGAGAGTAGTATAATAATAGATTCAATGTTTTATAAAAGAACTCATAAATTCTTAAACAAATAAATATACTAGTAAGTACCAATACGAGAACTCGAACCACGTGGTTTCCAATACGTGAACCACCGACGTAAACTTCTTATATCATTTTGTTTTAGTTTTTTTTCGGATGGTCTTGGTTTGGTTAACTTGATACAAAGCGATACTTGAAACAGTTAATCTATATTTTATCTCATGTTCTTAAACATACGTTGTAGTGTCAGAGAGGCTTAATGTTAATGAATAAAAATATCCACAAGCCGGTTCAACAATCTCAACCGTACTCTCCAGCTCGCTCCTGTGACGGTACTATTAAATAATTACATTGCACTACAGGCCTGTATACCGTCCGTGAGGAAATATTTGTAATTTTCGTTAAATGTTATTTTCTCAGTGTCATCATTTTTGTGTTCGTGTAAATATGACGACGTCTAATCAACCGACTATGACAACAATATTATACTTTTCGACTTGCTAACTACGTGACCATGACGCAACTAGCGTCGAATTGAAATCAAGTTTGTAGATAAGATATCTTTGAAAAAAATCCGCACCTCAATCAGAATGATAAACAGATAATTTCTGGGCTAGTAATGTTGTTACATTACTATTACAGCTATACGTTAAGATATTGTGATTTTAGGAGGTATTAGATAAATTCCCGAACGTTTTTTATTCTTACCAGAAAAAAACTATTTACGTGTCACGTTAACTCTTTGTGAAGCTTGGTAACCTATAGTACAATTACTATTACATACTAAACCATACCCCTTAATAATCAAATGTCAAACGAATAGTTCAACATTAATTTGTATGGGGTTAAAAACTTCCCCACGAAAATCTGTCTACAGCTTTCCAGCTTTCCATTGGGAGAGAAGTTCTTTGTAGGTTTTTAACATGGTATTAAATTTTAATAGTTTTTATGAGTGACAATAATTTATAGTAATTCCTTCGTTTTTTTTTTGTTCAAGCAGTGCATTTGATATTGTTTGTTTACCATGTACGTTAGACAAACAGAAATCACCATGTGATCCTGCGAGATATTAGATCACGTCCCGAACGTTCCCCCAAGGGCCAAACGTTTGATTTGTAACTCCAACTACAGTAGTGGTGGTGTGGAAAGCTTGCTTATCTCAGTTTCCTTCATACTCGAACAAATTCTAGCACTGGAATAAATATATTTTATATGAATTACAAATTTTTCCACTTATCAGTTGATGCGTGTTATTCCTGTAAAATAAATATAATAAGTGCAAATAAAATAAAAGTAGTATAAAATAAATGTAATGTAATAAATGTGTTAAACATGTGTTGGTAACAAAAAAAGTAATTTTAGTTGATATCGTATTACTAGTTTCTCATACAACTAGCTTGTTGGAGCATACTTTACTTCAAGGTACTTGTTATTTTTATTTGTTTACCTCTATAAAACTGAGTCATAAAAGTACTTGACATTAAAATATTACTGAAAGGAAAATAGTTATGATTCTTAATTAGGTATTTTGAGTACAGCAATGATGTATATTAAATTCCCTACATTTTAACTTTCCATTATTTACGATCGTCCATAAATATTAAAAACGCAGTAACACTCAGTTTAACTGATACGTGGTAATTATAAGAATGTAATTCAAATTGTAAATTATATGCTTGTTGGGGGCGTAATGGGTGAAAATTGAAAATAATTAATAACTCGAAGGACCAGAACTAATTAATAGTTCAAGAGAAAAATAATTAAATTAGAGAAAATGGCGAATCTGCAATTTGAAGGGCACTGAGGTCCCGAGATGGAATAAAATGTCTTGTGAGGGGCAAATGAGATTAGTTTTAGAGTCTAATTAAAACACACACAAAACTTTAAGGTTGTACCTTGAGTCCAATTGTCCAAAGGTGGAGAGTATGGCAGCGGCGTCGTCTATGGTGGAGCGATGGCGGATGGCGGAGTCCTTAGACCGAGTGCTTCTGTTTTGTAGAATTTTGGAGTACGCAACGCACCCAAGTTCATAATCACAAAGAGCTCACTAATACGCGGAAGTCACGGTGAAAACGTACGGAAAGTCTAGAAGTAATACACGGACGCGCACACACTGTCTTGAGGTTTGAAGAGTCTGAAAGCACTAGATCACAATTTAAGTAATTTAATCACAAACAAAAGGGGGAAATTAAAATGTATATATAGTTAAATGTACTATAGAGGAGAGGGAGGCCAGATATAATTAATCTATAGCCTAAAAATACGTTTAAGAGAGGTAAAATGGGCAATTAATGTCCCGAGATACGAGAAACGGAATACACCGTGAGTTATGGACGCCGACCGTGGACAGACAGACGCCGATCGCCGGTTTCACACTTTTAAAAATGCAATTGCGGTTTAGAGGGGTCTAGGAATTCGATGGCCAATAGGAAATGCGATTGAAGCAAACACGGCGTCAGGTGATTCATGGGTATGTAGTACAGGAAAATAGGCCTTACTGTGGCGGGAAATTCGAGCAGGCTTAGCAATCTCATTTGAATATTGAAAGCGGGAGTCTATTTACAATAAATTGTTACTGAGACTAAATAATATTACAATAAATGTGGTGATTTATATACACATTAGCATGATTAATTAACCAGTGACTTAATTAACATAATGATTAATTTCTAAATACTCTAAAAATATGAATACCGAACATTCCGGCCCCCTTGAAGCATTACAGCTTCAACAGACAATTAATTAAAAAACACAAGAGCAAACGTAAACCACACTTAAATCTAATATGTACATAGAGTAGGTTTCTTGGACTTAGTTTTCATTGCATGGCAGAGGGAAGACCTTGTGAACAGGCCGTGTGAAAGTCCCAGAAACTGTCTTCACTGTGACGACTCGAACTGTTCCATCAGCGCCAGGGTGAGTGGAGACGATGCGTCCAAGAGGCCAGGTGAGTGGAGGTGAATTGGAGTGAATGAGCACCAAGTCTCCGGTCTTCAAATTCTCATGAGGGGTGGTCCACTTGGATCGCTGCTGGAGGGAGTGGAGATATTCAAGCTGCCAACGCCTCCAGATACGCTGGTGAAAAGCCTGGACAAGCTGCCACTGACGAAGACGATTGAAGGGCACTTCAGACAGGTGAGGTTCCGGCAGGGCAACTAATGGAGCTCCGATGAGGAAATGTCCAGGGGTCAGCACAGAAATTTCGGAAGGGTCTGAACTAAGAGCTGTAAGAGGGCGCGAGTTTAGCATTGCCTCTACTTGAATGGACAAAGTTTGAAATTGGGTTAAAGTTAAAATGGTTTCACCAATTACCCGTTTCAGATGGTATTTTGCACTTTTAACGGCACTTTCCCATAAGCCACCTTGATGAGGTGCAGAGGGGGGGTTGAAATGGAAGTTAATTCCTTTGGGGGTGGTGAAATGAACAATTTTGTCCTGCGAATCAGGTGCAAGGATGGTTTCACGGATTACCTTGCGTAATTCCGAGTTTGCACCAACAAAGTTGGTTCCGCAGTCAGAATACAGATCGGAACAGAGTCCGCGTCTCGACACAAAACGTGTGAGAGCGGCAATGAAGCCTGAGGTGGTAAGATCGGTGACTACCTCTATATGAATAGCTTTGGTAGCCATGCAGATAAAAATACACAAATAGACCTTAATCTGTCTAAGAGCTTTGAGACTGCAAACGCGAACACTAAATGGTCCGGCGTAATCTACGCCTGTAGATGAGAATGGACGAGTAGGATTGACCCGATGAGCAGGTAAATCACCCATTAGAGGGATTTTGTTTCGTGGTTTATTTTTAAAGCACACAAGACACTTAAATATGCGCGAGCGGATAACGCTCCTGGCCGATAGAATCCACACTTTTCGGGCGAGTAGTGATTGAGTTAGTTGCGGACCTGAGTGCAAGTGTACCTGGTGGTAAAAGTCTATAAGCAAATTCACTACAGTATGAGACTTGGGTAGAACAATAGGGTGACGTATGTCATGAGCAAGCGAACAATGTGACAATCGGCCACCGACGCGTATGAGACCATTAGGGTCGAGGAAGGGGGTGAGTTTCTGTAATTGTGCAGAACATACTGAGCCTTTGTTCAATAATTTAATATCCGCACTGAAATGGAGTTTTTGCACTAGTTTAAAAATTGTCACTTCCGCTAGATTTAATTCACTGAGTTTTAAGTGTCCAGAGAGTTTGTTTTTAGACCTGGAATAGTTTATGAATCGTAGTACATAAGCTAGCACACGGGTTAGTTTCAACCAAGATGAATATTTAGACAATAAGTCCCATTCCGAAGGGGCGACTGTTGCACTAAGTACACTAAGAGGAGTTTCTTTAATTTCGTCCGTGGGAGTGAGTTCAGACGGCGAAAAACATGAGGGGGGCCAGTTGGCCGCAGGGAGCTGTAACCATGGTGGGCCAGTCCACCATAAGGGATGGTCAATGAGAGATGAGGCTAGAATTCCTCGTGAGGCACAATCAGCGGGGTTTTCCGTCCCTTTTATGTGCCGCCACTGATAACTGGGAATGATTTCTTGCACTTGGGCTACACGATTAGCCACAAAGGTCTTTAGTCTGTATGGAGGGGTTTGTAGCCAAGTAAGAACTACAGATGAGTCACTCCACAATACAGTGGTATTCGTAGTAAGAGAGTTAAATTGTTTTTCACAATAATGCACTAGTTTTGATAAGAGGTGAGCTGCACACAATTCCAAGCGGGGTAAAGTTACCTTTTTTAACGGGGCAACACGAGTCTTAGACAATATTTGTTTCACAATGACTGTTTTGTCACTAAATTCACACCGGAAATACACTACCGCGGCATAACCGCATTCCGATGCATCACAGAAACCGTGAAGCTCGATATCAGAGGAGTGAGCGAGCGGAAATGCTCGGGGGATCTTAATTTGACCGAGGTGGTCTTTAGTGTTACTAGTGAACACATGCCACTTATGTGCGAGATCAGAAGGGAGATGGTCGTCCCAATCAAGACCTTGAGTCCATAGTAATTGCATGAAGCATTTTGCTACCATGATTAATGGGGACAAAAATCCGCAGGGGTCATATAGTTTGGCAATAAAGCTGAGCACGGAGCGCTTAGTCAGCTTTTCAGACGGGGGGTTGAAAGCGTAACAGAAACAGTCTTCTTCAGGAGACCAATGGAGACCTAGGATGGAGTACTGGGGAAGCTGAGCGTCTTGCAGGAAACTTGGAGTCTCTAGATGTTCCGAAGGAAATTTTTCTAGAAGAGCAGAGGAGTTGGAGGCCCACTTGCGAAGTTCAAAGCCACCACGATGTAGAAGTTGGATAAGTTGGTCCTGTAGTTCAAGAGCAGCCTCAACGGAGTCAGCACCCGTGATAATGTCGTCCACGTAGGTGTGATGACGTAGAGAGTGAGAAGCCTGAGGGAAGGCATCACCTTCGTCTTCCGCTAACTGCATTAAAGTTTTAATAGCAAGGTAGGGGGAGCTGTTCATGCCGTAGGTGACGGTAGTAAGTTGAAACGTAGAGATTTCCTTTGAAGGGTCGTCACGCCACATAATCAGTTGAAACTTTTGATCGTCAGGGTGCACTTGTATTTGGCGGTACATTTGCCGAATGTCACATGAAAACACAATTTTATGAGAGCGGAAGTTCAAAATTACGTCACAAATGTCAGTTTGTAATTTACGTCCTGTCAAAAGAATATCGTTTAAGGAGTGACCGGAACTGGTTTTGCTACTGGCGTCAAACACTGTCCTTAAATTGGTCGTGCTAGAGTCCTTCAGTACCCCATGATGAGGTAGGAAGTAGTGTGGGTGTATGTCTTCAACAAAATCTAGTTTTGTCATATGGCCGAGAGTTTGATATTCAGACATGAACGTCTTATACAAGTGTGAAAACTGGGGTTGAGCTTTAAATTTCTGCTCAATAGACAACAAGCGCTTCTCAGCAATGGGCCTAGATTGGCCTAGAATGGAGGGGTCCGTCTTGAACGGAAGTCGCACAACATAACGACCTGATTGATCACGAGAGTGTGATTTTTTATAGTATTCATCACAAAGAAGCTCTTCCTGTGACTTAACCTGGAAGTGAGGGGGTTCCTCCTGTTGCCAGAAACGTTGCAGGGAAGAGTGTAGTGAATTATCACTAACAGAGAGAAGAGAGATCGCAAAACCTGACACGGGTTCCGAGTTAGTTGCACAGGGAGCTTTACCCATCAGAATAAAGCCAAGATGAGTACCTATCACATGAGGCATGTGCGTGCCGAGGGAGTAACTTTCATGAGTCCAGAGGAGGGGTAGCAGAGAACTACCTATAAGCACGTCAATGCCACCAGGCAAGTGAAAAGTAGGATCAGCTAGAACATAGGGCTTGATTTTTGTTAGCACTTCCGGTGATATAGGGGAGCGAGGTAAGTCGACGGAAATCTTATCAAGAATATGGAATTGATGGTCAGTGACTATTACTCGACCTGAGAGAGTTTCAAGATTCAAGTAAGTTGACCCTTTAGTACAGGAAGCCGTTTGAGAAAGACCAGATATTTTGAGTTGAGAAGACTGGCGTTTTATATTCAGGAGATTCGCAGCGCGTTCTGAGAGCAGATCACACATACTGCCAGTATCTAGTAGAGCACGAAACACATGAGAGATACCCTGAGGGGAAGTCAACTTGACCAAGGCGGTGCCGAGTAATACAGTATAATTACCCGAAGTCGTACATGAGTTATTTTGGGCAGAATAATTGCTTACATCCGCGACAGTGGCGGAGATAGAGGCTTGTGAATTAACATCACCAGTCTGAGTGTGAGATGGACCTGAAGTGGTCGGGGAAGTTCTTTGACCTTGAGGTCGAAAAGACATCTGAGAGGTTTGATTATTATCACCAAGGTGTAAGAGAGAGTGGTGTCGCTGTTTACATGTGCGACAAGTGAACTGAGAGCGGCATTCTTTGGAGCTATGTTCACCCAAGCAAGAAAAACAACGATTATGTTTTTTAACAATGGCGTGTCGCTCTCGAGGAGATTTATTTTGAAATACGTCACAAGTGTAAACTTTGTGATCATTTTTGTTACAAACAAAACATTTGTTATAGACAGGACTATTTTTAGTCTGAGAGCTATGAGAGGGGGGAGCATTAGATCTCGAAGTAGCTACCATGGCTAGGCCTACGTCAGACCGGAAATGCACCTTTTTTGGTATGGTTTTGTGAGGTGAAGGTTGAACGCTTCTGTGGGCCGATGACATGTTATGTATGTTAGCATCTTCTGTCTGCGAACATTCTTGGTTAAGAAATTTTATTATTTCACCAATTTCTGGTAATGAATGAGTAACTGGATCTTCGGTTTGACTGGAACGGAACGATTCAAGTTTTTTACGTAGTTCCTGGTCCATTTTACGCAAAAGGAGTGCGGACAATAGGGGGTTGTTGTCACTAACGTCACAATTTAATGCCTTAAGAGCTTGTGTGTGTTCCGTAAACAGGTTTACAAATTGGCGCAAACCTTTGAGTGAAGTTGCCGTAATGTTTGGCAGGTCCAACAATTGGTTAAGATGCAATGATTGCAATCTTCGATTGTTGTGATATCTGTCACGTAACAATTCATAGGCGACTAGATAATTAGGAGCGGTGAGATTTAAACTCCTTATTAAATTGAGAGGCTCTCCATTTAAGACAGAGAGTAAGTACTGGAATTTCATAACAGAGGATAATGAAGCATTACGGTGGATTGCAGTGTCAAAAAGATTGATAAAACTTGTCCACGTTAATGGATCGCCAGAGAATTTTTGTAAGTCCAGTTTAGGTAATCGTACTTGTGAGCTTGGATGAGTTTCTGAAACAGAAAACGATTCACTGAACGCGGAAGGGGTTTTTGGTGGTTCTGAGGGAACCAGGGTTTCAATCGTAGCTTGAATGTGAGAGAACATGTCTTCAATAGCATCTTGATCATTGGAAAGAGTCTTATCATCGATCCCTTCATCTTCCAGAACGAAGGCACGTTGAAGGTTATTTTCAAATTCACTGCGTTTCTTTTTTATTTCCAACGCGTAAGCGGATAATTTCTTAAGTTGTAATGGTGTTAGAGGGTCGATTTGAGTTGATAATTCATCTACTGTAGCCTTAAGTTTTTCAAAACGTGATTTAATCAGCGCCGTAGAACGGGTGTAGATTGCGGACTTAAAATCAGATGCTTTAGGAGGCATTGTGAAGTGTTCACTTGAAAGTATTCACACGAAAATGGAAGTTATGGGTACACAAAAGGCTTGTAGCTAGGCCTATGAATGGTATTAGCTTAACAATGTAGTAATTAATTGTCCGCTGAATAATATAGAGATAAAATATTATAAATATCTAAAACATATATCCACCTACTTTGTAGCTTAATTGAGGCAAATAGTGAAAAACACTAAGTTATCAACACGTTAAATAGCAATAAAATATTTTTAAATGAGTGTGGCAGGTTTAATTCGATTTTCAAACCATAAATCAACAATTGAGCTTAGTTGAAAGTATTCAAGTACGGTAATAATAATGCACAATAAAACAAGAGATATGATAGAACAAATGAATGAGTCACATGAAAGTTCACCGTTATTTACAAAAATAATAAATGGATCTAAATAAGTTTAATGAGAGTAGGCCTCAT